GGAAATTTTCGATGGTTTTGTAATAATCGGCAATGAAATCCACCATTCGATGTCCGTATTCTCTCAGTTGCTCAGAGTCCATCGGCTTTAACACGTTCCTACTACTACCATTTTCCCTGTTACATAACAAGTAAAAAAAAAAAATCAGGCAATATTCGTCTTAAATCATGAAGAGATTTTCCAATATGCAAGAAGATACATTTTGTGTTTCTCGCGTCGCTTTGAATTCGTTTTTTTTTTTATGTCTCAGAAGCTTTCTGAATGGTTTGGGTTTCAGCTGGAGTACATATCTCTTATTTATAGGACTTTAAAAAAAAAAGAACAAAGAAGAAATTTTTACCAAAAAAAAAGACAATTGACTAAGGGGGGCATATTGTATTGATGATTTGTGATGATTTTAATTTTTCTTCAAATCTTACCTTATTCAAATGGTATTTCTCTAAAGTGTTTTAAAATCCTATATTATTGGCTCTATTATTTATCAAAATATCTTCAAAATCCAGAGTTAGTGAATTGATCATTTATAAAAAATTCATTAAAATCTCACCTTACTGGAAAACAAAGATTTTTATTGAAAATTTTTTATATAAAAATTATTTGGAATTATTTGGAAAAAAATTATAATTAGGCGATGATACAATAATCGATTAATCTATCTACGGCTATTTGCATTTAAAATAATTTTAACTATAAATTGTTTTCCAAATATCTTTGCATTTAGATATAATTAGGCGATGATACAATAATCGATTAATCTAATCTAAGGCTATTCTAAATGCAATTAGTTGTGATCAAATTCGGCCAATTTACGAACAAATCACAGTTTACTAAACTTGCTGAATAAAATGAAAACTCGATAATCAGTACAATGCATACGTAACTTACGTAAGTTTGCAAAAGGCTATACACTGACTGGGCTTTTAGATCAATGGTTAATTCTCACACACAACCACTAATGGCCTTCGATCTCTTCTTGTAACTCTTGATCACTTACAATGTCTCCATCTGATTCTGCACCGTTTCATCAGTCTGACAACTTTGAAATTGCCACTCGCAACAACGGGAACGTCAAAAGAACAGTCCAACTTAGGATTTATAAGCTAGAAACTATTTTTTTTTTAAATATTAATCGGTTGTAAAATATAATTTAAACCAAATATATTTGATGTATTTTTCGCATAACAAGATCGATTATTATATTTGTTTACCGAAAATTTGAAAATCGAAAAACTCGAATTGAGTAGAAAATATAACAACGGATGCATGGTGTTGAGATTGAAATTCTTATTATTTAACGAAATGTTAGAGACTGGCTAGTGGCTACTGTAAATAGAAATGAGCTCATATATACAGAGATACAGAGATCGAATCTGCGAGGGAGGTTTCTTGAAGAAAGTGAGTGAGATGTAGAACGGTTTAGTAACCGGAAGTCTCCAGGAGGAATTGGATTGATAAAGACTCTTGTGTATTTGTAAAACAGAGGTGGGAAGAAGCAAAATAAGCGAGGTTAGAGAAGTGATTGAGAGCCTTTGCGATCTTTCGAGATCGTCTGATGATTGGAAAGAAATGGCTTTAGATACCCTTTTAATGCTTCTTAAAGATTCGAATGTTAGGTATCGTCTTATTGAAGTTTTAGGGCTCTGTTTAGTGGATTTAGCAGAAGATAATGTTGTTGGAGACAGAGTAGCTCAGATAGTTTTACAAGATTAATTATCACAAGATTAAGTATAGTGGCTTGAAGCTGAATAGCGAGGAGGCTCAGAGAAGCAAAGAGAATATCTGAGAGATTAAAGTAGAGATGAAGAAGAAGGAGAAGCTTATGAGTGAGACAGAGCTTGGAGAGAGGAGAAAGATGGTGAAATCGTTCAAGAAACAAGGGAAGAAGAAGTTTTTGATGGGTTTTGTAAAAGAAGCGATGGAGATTTATACAGTGGGGATTGATTCGTGTCCGTTGGATATGATACGAGATAGGGTTGTGTTGTATAGCAACAGAGCTCAGTGTTGCTTGTTGTTGAAGAAAGCTGAGTCCGCCATTAGTGATGCTACTAGAGCTCTGTGTTTATCTGGTGTGGATGATCCACATGGTAAGAATTTGTGGAGAAGATCTCAAGCGTAGGATTTAAAAGGGTCGGCGAGAGAGAGCTTGATGGATTGTTTGGCGTTCGTAGATCAACGATTCAAGCGTTCTAGTCCGCAAAAGATACCCTACTACGCGACGCAGATGATAAGAAAGCAGATGAGTGCCACGTGGGATTTCTCGTGGGTTGACTCCACAACCAAAAAATCGGACGGTTAAAAGACGAAGGAAGGAAAATAGTGAGCAGGCGGAACTCTTTTCTGAATTTGTAAATCTGCTATAAACTTCATAACCTATAATGAATTTTTATCTTCCTAACTCGCGGAGAAAACCATTGAATCATTGTTGTTTTGCTCAGTGCTAGATCTCTAGCTAGATCCTGTTACGTACAATGGTTAGAAACTTGAGAATTTAATGCTCTATGAAATTAATTGAAGCTCTTTTCGGTTTTAGTTAATCGAAGTTATACTTATTAATTTGAATGTGATTATAATTAAGTTGCAATGTTTTTTTGTTGCATTGCAAAATTCTCTGATAGATCTTTGTTCTTTAGAATTGGAACAGTTCACACAATTTTATTTAATTTGTTGAGATCAGGATATTCTATAAAGTTAATGTCAACTTCCATCAGTTAGTTATGAATAAAATGTCCGATTCACGGTGAACTTGACTGTATAGGAATTCTTCTCGTTGACATCTTTGTACTCACATTCCATGTTCTTGACGGTGGGCTAAATCCATTGTTGCTATATTTGGTAATTGTTCTGGACCTTCTGGTTGATCATCAAGGCTAAGGAAGAATGGACTCCTAAACTTATAATGAGTTTCTAGAAAGATTGATATGACTCCAGATTGAGTGAGGATTTAAACTCGCCAAGTGTTAATCGAGTTGCTGCGCCTTCAATGGCATGGTTGTAGGAGTAAACTAATTTGGTGAGTTGACGACTGATAGTATCTTCCATTCAAACCTTTGAGAATTATTCTAAAAAACATTCGCATATGATCCATATGAACAATGTAGGAACTTTTTTCTTGCAAAAACAGAGGAGAAATGTATAAGGAGACAAAAGAAGACTCAAGAAAAACATGATCGGAAAGAATTCTGTAAAGGAAATATAGCTGGTGATAGTGAAAAATCAGATGACTAGAGAGAAATCTAATCTTTGATAGTAGAAGAAAGAGTTTGTTTCATATATATATATATATATATATATATATATATATATATATATATTGTTTCATATGCTACACATTATATTCTGATTGTAACCAACGAAAATTTTAGAACTACTATGCCAGCACCGACAATGGTTATCTCCATCAACTACACATTTTATTCTGATGGCAATCACCAAAATTATATATTGCATATATTTTGCTTATATTTTGCTTTTTTTTATTTGTTAGTATTTTTATTTTGCTTTTAATAATAGTTATGACATATTGATGGAGTTGTTATACTTAAACCTGTCATTATATTCATTAACGAACTTAATATGATTAACACTTTACATTCTAAGTTATAAAATGTTATACAGTTCTCTATATTTAAAAAGTTCTTACAACACATGTGTTATCTCTCGAGAAGTGTTTGCTGAGTATTTCACAAAGAATATATTTTGTATTGAATATTGATTGACCTACATATCACATGATTAGGCTGTCATTATAGTAATTAGGACTGAGGAAATTATCTGGGATCTAAAACTCGATTCATTATGTAGTCCAGTCTAATCTGATCCAAAAATTATAATATCTGCAGTGTTTGGATCCAAATATTACAATTAGAAGATCCAGACTAGCTTTGTATCCAACCGATATATATAGCTTCAGATCCGAGTAATAAAAACTTTTGGAGGTGGGTATCCAAATCTCAGATGATGTATTTAATAATGCTTATTTTAATCTGAAACAAACATGTTCCCTTATAGTAATGTCGAATGTCGATGCTTATTAGAGAACATGATTTTAATACATAAGCCTATTTAGTTGATCAAAATATATCTTCTAAGACTTTTCAGTCTTTGATTCATAAACGCTTTTTTAATGACAATCTTCAAGACTCTAGTAGATTTTTTTTTTTGCAAAATTGACACCTTTCAATCTCTAGATTTGATGCCTAAATTCTTTATAAAAAAATCAAAGAGAGGCCTTGGCTAAATCGTTAAGACATTCGTCCGAGACCTAATCTTCTCTTTTCATCTCTCTCACATTCGTTTTAAGGTTCATTACTATGTTAGCTTGGATCCTGATTTTAACAGTGATCCCTCTCTTTTCTTGATCGACGTTTGTTGATACACAAATTATGTTAAAAGAAACCTGAGACAGTTTTGCATTTTCTCTCCAGAGAGATATTCACAAACTATGTTAGGGATATGTAGTTTTGTATAATTCATTGAAAAAGTTAATACGCCCATTCTCTTCTTTTGACTTCACTCTCGCTGTTCGGCTGTTCCATTTCTTTTGTCGTCTTTAAGGTAATATATCCTGAATGTATCTGTTGTATGCTACATTTTTGTATCCACTTAAGATATATTACCATAAAGACGACAAAAAATTGTTTACTACATATTTATTGTTGTTGTTCCTACGATTTAGTCTTCAGTCAATAGTCTTGTAATTGAATAAGATTCCTAATGCTAAGATCAAATCGTTGTTAAGTTTCCTAGTATAAAAAAAGTCAAATCGTCAGATGAGTGATATTAATATATCTTAATGAAAATAATAAGTAAATTTTGATTCGATATTACTAATTAACTAATTCTTTTTAATTATATAGTATTAAATGATTATTTTTAGTCAAACAACCATTTTTTTATTGAGGTTTCCTAATCCTATCTATCGGCTATATATAACTAACTCAAAATGAAGAAAACATCGTCATTTTATTGTATAACAAACAACAAAGAAGAAAATAGTAAAAATGAATGGTCATTGTCCGGTCATCCGTCTTCAGTGTGAATACTGTGACTGCTCTGGCATTTCATGCCAATCTCGATTTCTAGGTATTGTATTATTGTTAAATAGATGTTTTTCTTTTTTTTTGGATCGACAAATATAATAGAGTTTGAGTTTGGACATACACAATAAAATGGTTTGTATAAAAGATTCAATCTAAATCATTAATTGTTTAATCTGTCATTTTTTCGTATATAGTATTATGATTTTACTATAATGTATTAAAAAGTTAGGATCCTTAAACATTAATTTTTTTTACTTATATACATATTGAACAAAAGACATAACTAAAACAAATTTACAATGATGTTGGGATGATTGTGTGTAGGTTTGAATGTGGAATGGCCAGAACTAAAGGGAGTAAGTGCGCCTGAGGCAAAGAGAAAAATAGAAAGGGACAATCCACATGTTACTTGTGTTATAATCCCTGAAGATGTTATGGTCTTAGCAGTCAATTGTTGTAACCGTGTCCTTCTCCGTGTTCCAGTTGGGAATTGTCCCAACGGTCCTGTTGTTAACACTCCTCGTATTGGATGATGAACCCTATACTATGCATGTTGTTACTCTTCATGATTATGTTTGATGTTTTAGCTTCAACAACTTCCTATAAGTTGTTTTGTTTTCGCGAATAAAAGATTGATTGGTAACTTTGCGGAATGGAGGAATTGCGGAAAAAATTTTGCGGAATAGAATGGAGGAATTGCGGAAAAAATTTTGCGGAATAGATTAAGCGACTTATAAGTCGCTTTTCTGCGGAATGACTTTTCCTTTGTATTTTTGTTAAGCAAAAACGCAGTTTGCGTTTTTGTGTGTATTTTTTCATTACGCGAATTTTTGTTGATTGGCAAAAAACCTGCGGAATTGTGTTTAAAAACGCAATTCCACCATTCCGCAGGTTACCAATCAGAGCCATTATTGAGTTATATTTTTGCAAGTTCATTTGGTCAGGATTTTTCTGTGGTTAATTAAGTATTTTTCTTTTCTTGGTAACAAATTAAGTTTATATAAGTTTACACAGTTATACGTGGTCTTATTGGGCATGTATATATTGGTTAATTCTTGTCTACTCAAGAACTAGAAGACAAGAAGATGGAAAGAAACTAACAACGAATGGTGTTGAGATTGGAGTATATATAAATAATCTAACGAAATTGCTGACTACTGTATATAGAAATGAGCTAATACATACCTACATACATATATACATACATACATACATACATAGATACACATACATTCATACATACATACATACATATATACATACATACATACATACAGTAGCAAACATATGCTATTTATACATACAGTAGCAAACGCCAAAAAAAAAAAGAAGCAACGATAACCCACCATAGCTAGCTTGTGATACGCCCGCGGTATCTGCTCCGCCGAGGAATTCATGGCTTCACAGAGAATTTAATAGTTAGACGGAAAAGTTGAATTAATGCCACCACCTTCCAATTGGTTTAGATATAAACTTCAGGAACACATATTACACAACGCAATAGATATTCTGGGGTTTATATTAAGGAAATGAGGTGACTCCAATGGCGGATATATGAAAAAAGATGAAAATTAATACACTCAAGAACACATAAAAAGGAAAAACATTTAACTTACCCGAACTGCTAGAAGAAGACATGGAACTCGAACAAGAATATGAGAGACTGAAGAACTTGATTTCCAAATCCCTAACTCATCTCTGAGTGAAGTGGAGGGGTTGAAGACAGTGATAATATAAAACGACATCATTTTATCTGTTTTTCTAATTAAACTCGGTAAGTCCAAAATGACACTGTTGTTAACGTGGATGCTACATAGACAATGTTTAAGGGATTGTTAACACCGGTTGGATGGAAATTGGTTTAAGCACAAAAATAGATTAAGTATGAAATTAATTTTTTTTATAATGATTAAGTATGTTTACACCAAAAAATTAGTTTAAGTCTAACTTTAACATTTTCTGAAAGTTTAGGTTGGAATTAGCCAATTTTTCTTCCAGTCACCATAATCCATATTTTCAAAAGGCTTGTCTCTCGTAGATAATTTCGTTTTTTTTTATATGTATATATTTTTTTGCAAACTAAAAACATCGAAGCTGCTTAGTCTTTAATACATTTTTTTTCTTATTGAATCGTTTGTTATAAGCATAAGCATAAGCAACGGCTATTCAAAATTCCACATGTTGTGAGTGATCCTTTGGTTAAAAGTTTTTCTTCTTAAAAGGTCGTTGTAACACCTAATTACAATCGCGTTATAAGAAAAACCCCATTTTCAAAGAAATTCAAATCATTATGTCCACATTAAAAATTTCTCAAGAAAAGGAACATGTGGCATGAATGTTTTAGAAAAGACTAGTGATTAACTGCGAGGATAATTTTTAATTTTAACACAACAGAGTTACAGAGGACATTACAATATCTTAAGCCCCTTTAATTTCACTTACTTACCACTACGCCAGCTTAATGCGTATATGATTTTCTTTGGTTAACTTCTTTAAATTCGATAACCGCCGGTTCGACCGAAATGTTGACCACCCTTGTCTCAGAAACCACCTTGACTCTGTACGTACCGCCACCTCCCACACTCGTTACAACGCGCGTGTACTTGTACGCGCCGCCTTCCCCTCGTGAATGGTCGATTATGACGGCAAAGGAAGGGTAGTTAAAGTCGGCGATTCTGTACCTCTTCTTTGGATCGCAGGTGAAGTCACGTCTCGCGACGGTTCTGATCTGTGATGACGTGTAATTGGAGGCGCACAAGAAATCCAGGTAATCCTCAGCCGTCAGATCGTAGATAAGCCCTGGGTTGAGTGCGGATATAGGGGACACGTGTCCGGCACCGTGTAGAAACGGCGTCGACGGTGTATGGTCAGTGCTGTCGAGGATCGGCTTGCCGTCATTGCCATTTCTGTTGGCCGTCGTCATAAGAGCTGAGCGAATCGCCGCCGCCTTCAGCAGTGCCGCAATTCCGCTCAGGTGAGGACATGACATCGAGGTTCCGGATTGGATGCTAAAATCCACTACCTGCTTCAAGTCGGGATCGGATTGGTGGAGTCCGGTTGCTCTGGTCCATGCGGCGAGGATGTTGACGCCTGGAGCGATCAGATCCGGTTTCAGAATCTCCGGCGTGACGGAATTTGGTCCCCGGGAACTGAATCCGGCCACAACCGGAGCTGGCTTGACGTGGAGGACCGTTCCCTTGAACTTAATCATAGCCGTCGGTTTTGCATCCTTCAAGATATAGTCTCTTATTTCATCTCCGGATATTTTTCCGACGGTAAGTGAAGGAATTAACTTATGTGGAGCCACAAGCTCTCTCCCGTTGGGAGCTGTGTTGGCATAGATGATACCAAGTGGACGGTTTGTTGGCGTCTTAAACTCATCAGTTCCCGATCCCATGTCAATCAAAACGATTTTTTCGGTGAAATTGTCTTCAAGTAAAGAGTAAACCAAAGGAACTTGTTTATCGCCTAGTTTAAGATGCTCTTACCTTTTGAACAAGGTGGAGACTCCGCCAAATGCTTTTCCGTTTCCGAGGATGGCGATAGCCGGAAAATCTCTATCCACCGTTCCAGCTCCAATAGTAGTTATCCATGGCGCAACGTTCATTAAGGTGGATTCACTAAGACCATCATTCCCGGCGGAGGCAGAAACGAATATACCTTTCTTAACGGCTGCTAAAGCTCCAATGGCAACAGCGTCTTGGTCGTACTCTAGTGTGCCTAACCCGAGCGAGAATGACAAAACGTTGACACCGTCTTCGATGGCCTTGTCCATGGCAGAGAGTACATCCGAGCTCATGCAGATGTAGAGTCAGCCTCCTCGGGCGTCATTCTAGCTGCAAACCCTTCAATGGCATAATTGTAGGAGTAAACTAATTCCACTGAGCTGGAGACTGAAAGAAGCTTCGATATGTACCATTGAGACTTGTTCTCAAAAACCATTGGCATATGATCGTCCATATGAACAATGTAGGTACTTTTTCCTGCAGAAACATAGGAGAAATGCAGGAGTAGGAGACAAAAAACACCTGAGAGAAACATGATCGGAGAGAAATCTGCTTTTTTTTAAAAACAGAGAAATAACTCAGATGAGTAGAGAGGTTTCTGGTCTTTGGAAGTAGAAGACGTAATTGATTGAAAACAACTCGTTTGCAGACGTAATTGATATTTTCACTCTTCTGAAAAAAAGGAATCTTATTCCCATATGTCTATTTTATACACAATAATAGAAACACTTTGACTCAAATTTTTTGATAGTGGGAACTACAGAATTCGAGAATTTCATCTCAGTTCTGATGTGAGATTATTAACATATAGTTGTCTAGTTTATAACCACACTTTTCCTATACACTAAGAAGAATATTAAGCTTCCATGATTATCATAAGGGATTGATACATAACTGAACAAATGATTGATGTGAATTAGAAGAAAGAAAAGTTCCAGATCAGATGAACCGTAAAAAGGGTTCTTTTGGGAAGTTGACGAAAAAACTTCTACCCAATTAATTGTTCTGAAACTTTCTTAAAATTCAGAGCGATGCACAAAACACACACCCACAGATATATTTAGATGGATTTAAATAAATCCAATAGATAATATTCAAGTTTCATCGGTTTTCAGAGCTGTCATTTCTCTAGCTATCTCGGTTTCAGTTCTTCTGTTAACTAACGCCTCGGTGAGAAGAATGGTTTCAAACTTTCAATAGGGATCAACGTTCAGTTTCAAAAAGACCACACCGAGACTAAGTATGAATAGTGTCTTTCTTCAATTTCAAGATTTGTTTGCAGATATTAAGTAGTTCAGATAGTTTTTCAAGATTATCACAGCTCAAAGATTAATTATAGTGGCTTGAAGATGAATATCACTGAGGCTCAGAGATGTATAGAGAATCTGTGGGAGATTAAAGTAGAGAGGAAGATGCTTATGAGTGAGAAACAGAGCTTAAAGCGAGAAGAAAGATGGGAAATTGTTGAAGTAACAGGGGAAGAAGAAGTTTTTGATGGGATTTGTAAAAGAAACGATGAAGATTTATACAGTGGAATACAAATTTGAGTCCGTTGCATATGATACGAGATAGGGTTGTGTTGTATAGCAACAGAGCTCATTGTGCTTGTTGTTGAAGAAAGCTGAGTCTGCCATTAGTCTAATGGGTACAGACGAGGTCATTTCTTGTTTCTAGGATGGCTATTGGGCCCAAGCCCAAAACTAAATTGGTTCGAAATGGCTAAAAAAGACTCCTAAATATAATGCCTAAATGGCAAAAAATCAAATCGTAGTCTAAGTGCTATAATAAAATATCGCAACATTAATGTTACACTCAAAAGTATTACCATAAGACCTACAAAAAATATCAACTATAAATTTTTTCCTTTCTGCCACGATCTAGTTTTTGTCAACAGTCTTATAATTGATTAAGTTTCCTACCGCTAAAACTAAATCGTTGTTAAGTTTCCTAATATAAAGAGTCAAATCGTCTTGGAGTGATATTCAAAACTTAAGAGCATCTACAATGCTGAGACTCTCATTGCGTTTTTAAGAATTATGTTTAATTTTTTTCTTTTTTTTTTTAACAGTGAACAACCCCTATATTTTTTCCAGGTCCAACCCTGAACCTCTTTATCTAGAGATTGTCTTCTTCAATTTATCGTCTTCTTCACTTTGAAACCGATCATCCTTTTTTAATTTATCTAGAGATTGCTTTCTCTGCATACTCCTCTCTGTTTCATGATTTCTTGATGGTATCAATGATTTAGCAGCTGAAATTCGCTGGAAATCAAAATAATTTCCGAGAACTTCCAAACTGGGTTTGCTGATCTGGGTTTCAGTGTTTGGAGCAGCTAAATTGGGGAAAGATCCTGCTATTGTCAAAACCGATATGGGTTGCCGTCGCGTTGTGCCGGTGAACCGATTCGTCACCTCCGCAGAAATTCTCGCCAGAGAACCTTTGTCGGTGAAAGAGAGCAAAAAAGTTGAAAAAAACTAAAACTCTCTCTTCCAATAATTCAAGCAATCAGGAGCCGCCACGTCACGGACGATCCTCCCTTGAGACGGGTTCTTCAATCTCTTGTCCGTCGAAAATAATGGACCCAAATTTTTTAAAAATTGCAAAACAGACCTCAGGTCCCATAGAAGAATTCCCGACAATCCCCATTAGAGATGGTCTAAGATATCTTGAAATACGATATTACCATTAATTCATTTTTGATTTAATAATTGATTTAGTTTTCGTAACCCTACCGATCTGCTATATATATTGACCAACTAACAATGAAAAAAAAAACCATTATATTGTTCAAGTAAAACTAACAAACTCAAAATGAATGGTATATGTCCTATCATTGATCTTATATGTGAACCCTGCGACTGCGCAGGTATTTCGTGCCAACCTCGATTTCCAGGTATTGTTTTCTCTTTAAAGTTTTCTTTTACTTATTTTTTTGGTCGATAAAAATAATGGATTTTGAGTTTGGATATAGAAATAAGTAAATTTTTAGTTCAAGTCATCAGTTTGCTTAATTTATCTGTCAAAATTATCATATACATCGTGATTGATATAATTTTTTTTTCTCCTTTCAAGATTTAGGTTAGGACTTCTCTCGTAAACGACAAGATTTGATTTGTATATAACTATATATATTGACAATATTATATTTAATATGTATATCTTAACCAATTTCTTTTTTTTTTTAATATACACAACTAAATTTTGGATTTTCGAATAAAAGATTGGGGACAATTATTCGTTTTTACTTACACTAAATATTGAATTGAAGACACAAGTGGTACCGATTGTTTTTTTTTTTTTTTTGTTCAACAAGTCATGCATAGGTTAAAACATTAATGTGGGATGACATGTGTGCAGGGATGAAGGTGGTATGGCCAGAACTTAAAGGAGTAAGTGGGCCTGTAGCCAAGAGAATAATAGAACATGACAATCCACATGTTACTTGTGTTATAATCACTGAAGATGATGCTGTGATACAAAACTGTTGTTGTAACCGTGTCATTCTAAAAGTTCCCGTCGTTAACTGTCCTAATGGTCCTGTCGTTAACAGTCCTCATATCGGATGATGATGTTGTTTAGTTCTTCTGCATGATTTAGTTTGATCTTTTTTTCAGTTATTTTCAATTGTTTCAGTGATTTTCAATAAGTTGTTCTGTTTTCTCCAATCAACGAACCTATTTTGTTGAACTTTTTTTTTTTTGGGATCATGACTATGTTTAATCTTTAATTACAACAAACTTTCTACAAGTTGTTTTTTCTTCTCGAATAAAAGAAATGTAGTCTGGTGCTATCGTTTATTCTTGAATCTTGATTAATGAAAGTTTGAGTTGTATACACAAATATTTTCACATATTTATTTTTCAAAGATTTTTGTGTTGTTAATTAAGTTTACATATGTTTACACAGTTATACGTGATAATTAAGTTTATATATGTTTACACAGTTACACGTGATCATGCCAGTATTGGCTTAATTCTTAAAACCTGTTCTTTGCCATATATATGTTTTAAGAAAACACAACCATAAAATTCAATTTAACTATTGTTTTTTGATAACCTAACATGTATGTGATGATCAATGTTTTTAAACTCGATCTAGACCCGCAATCGCTATCCGTTGACTCGTCGTAGAGTCCGGTTTTGATTTAATGCTAATATCCGTTGTATCAAAACCCGCTAAAATCCAGTAAAAATTCGATAAATCTGTGATCCGGCTAATGGTCAAATTGGCGAGTGGAAGTTTAAAAAGATATTTTTTGAAACAAAAAATAAAAAATTGATTTTGAAAACCTTTTCAAAGATTAAAGATTTTAAATTTGTTTAGTAATATATAATATTGACTACACTCTATAATTTATGATTATTTAGATTTTAATGAAGATTTCACTACATGCTAAAATTCTGATACCAAAAACTAAGATAAGCAGTAAAACAAATGAAATTTTTTATCCATTATTTAATTAGAATAATTCAAATGTGAAAATTACTTGTGTTCAATTTGGGGTATAATGTAGTTTTTTGTGGTTTTCTAAGATTAAAGATTTTAAATTTGTTTAGTTATATATAGAATTGACTAAACTATGTAATTTGTGATTATTTAGATTTTAATGAAGATTTTACTACATCGCCCATAGAAACCGAAAAGAATGGTGATAGAGATAAAGTAAATTGGTTGAAATTATATGTTTATTAGTTCACTTTTGTTATCATGTTTTTCTTTTAGTTTACCTTAATTGAATTAATTTTATGATTATTGTTATTCATATTAAACTTTATGATTATCGTTATTCATGTCAGATTACATACTTATTAGACTATTAATCTTCAGACTTGTTTTTGTTTTCATTTTGTTTGCTAATTTATCACAAAATATTTTGTGAACTTGTTCTACATAATTATCATATTATTACTTTCTAAATATATTCAATATATATATATATACTAGTTAACACGTAAAGTTGGAGATTAGCAAACTATCCTGAAGACGATGATGACGCTCACTTTGAGGCGTTGGCCTCTTCTCCGGCCCCGATACCGCTATCCGAGGTATCACAGATCTCGATATGCCGGATTGATGCTTCTTGGATCAGTCACAGACAGGTTAGTGACCTTGGATGGAGTTTTGAGGATGGCAGAGGGAATGAGATTTTTGGACTACAGGGATGTCGTAGAAGCCTCTCGGCTCTTCACGCCGAGATGGATTGCCTCTTATGGGCTATGTCATGCCTGAGTAAAAGACAGATGACTTCAGTGCATTTTCAGACAGACTGTTTGGACCTTGTGAGCATGTGTGAATCACCAGCAGATTGGCCGTCTTTTATGACATAGTTGGAATCCTTTCGTACACTTCGCGAGAGATTCTCAGAATTCACCTTATCCCATATTCCGAGAATTCAAAATGTCCGGGCGGATAGTCTTGCAAAAGGAGCTCGAGCAAGAGGAGTTATTTTTTCCCAAATCGATCATACCGAGCTGGTCGAAGATGGTCCACAAACCACTTCTATGATAGGTCAAATATGATTGTAATAGTTGGGAAAAAAAAATATATACTAACTAACACGCCCGCACCGTGTACATTTAATAAGTAAGATGTTAAAAATTAAAAAATTGTTTTATATATAATGTTATTTATTTATTTTTATTGATTTGATTGAGTTTATCATTTGAAACAGGAATCTAAAATCGATATTCATTCATAGATAGATAATTTGTGTAATCCATTTACTATTGCAATTCACTAAAATCAATTTTTAAAATTGATTATCGCTATTTAAAATATCCATCAATGTTTTTCAATGTCTAAATTCTTGACTATTTTTTCTTTAATAAAAATCCAATCCATAATTATTTCCCTAATTACTACTTATACAATTGCAAAAAAAAATTTATGTATTCTCTGTGATGCGGTCATCAAACCAGAAGAGAAAGATCACAAACCAGGGATGATGCAGCTCAACCCTGAGCCATTATGGACCACCTTGACAAACCTCTCAGAAGCCCAGAAACATGGAGAATCAAGGAGTGCCAGCCCAAACAAGCCCACAAACTCAAAATCATTTAAATGGCCTGTTAAAGACATATGGTCATCTCTTGAAGGATTTCAGCCCAACCACAAAGAACTAATCCAACACCCGACATTCCTGATCCATTAAGGATCCAAGAACAGCTCGGAGCTGGCCCAAATCGGTTCGTATCAGTTTACAAACCGGCAGTTATGAAACTGGTGGTCTGGCCGATCACTATGAGGA